AGGGATTGCATTGAATCTGCATATTGCCGTAGGTAGTATGGACATTTTAATGATATTAATTCTACCAATCCATGAATATGGTATATTCTTCCATTTGTTTATAGCTTCTCTATCTCTTTCTTTAATGTTCTGTAGTTTTCTGAGTACAGGTCTTTTACCTGTAGTTAAGTTTATTCCTAGGTACCTTAATTTTTTTTGTGCAATGGTAAGTGGGATTGTTTTTTTTTCTGTTTGTTTGTTTCTATTTCTGTGAGTTTATTATTGGTGTACTAGTGGCCTGGTGCATGAAATTCATGCACAAGGGGGGGAAAGGTCCCTCAGCCCAGCCTGTGTGGGAGACCTCCTATTGCAGGGGTCCTCAAGCTTTTTAAAGAGGGGGCCAGTTCACTGTCCCTCAGACCGTTGGAGGGCCAGACTATAGTTTTAAAAAAAAACTAGTCGGCTGCTAAGCAACAGGCAGAGGCGGCAAAAACACCCAGAGGGCCGAATAAATGTTTTCGGCGGGCCGCATGTGGCCCGCGGGCCATAGTTTGAGGACCCCTGGCCTATTGTTTTCACTAGCAGAGAGGTGTGAACAAGGAACCCGGAAGGCTGGTGATCCTTGAAGCCCTTGCAAAGGTCAGGGCTGTGCACCCATTGTTAGTCCAGACAATGGTAGCTGAAGCAACTTCCCCATTTATTATTATGTAAATCCTTGCTGATGGGCTAGTCTGCCTGTTACTGGAAATTGCCTGCCTAAGGGCGTCCTGTAGTTTCCTGAGTACAGGTCTTTTATCTGTTTGGTTAAGTTTATTCCTAAGTATCTTAATTTTGTTGTTGTTGTTGTTGTTGCAGTGGTACATGAGATTGTTTTTTTTTTTAGTTTCTTTTTCTGATAATTCATTATTGGTGTATAAAATGCCATTGATTTCTGGGTGTCAATTTTGTATCTTGCTACATTGCCAAATTCATTTATTAAATCTAGGAGTTTTTGGTGGAGTTTTTAGGTTTTCTGTGTACATGCCATCCACAAATAAGACAGTTTTACTTCCTCCTTTCCAACTTGGATGCCTTTTATTTTTCGTCTGGTCACTGTGACTAGGAATTCTAGTACCATGTTGAATAAGAGTGGTGAAAGTGGACATCCCTATCCTGTTCCTGTTTTTAGGGGAAATGGTTTTATTTTTTTCCCTTTGAGTATGATGTTTGCTGTAGATTTATCATCTATGGACTTTATTATGTTGAGGTATGACCCCTCTATTTCCATTTTGCTAAGAATCTTTATCAAAAATGGTTGTTGGATTTTGTCGAATGCTTTTTCTGCGTCTATTGATATGATCATTTGATTTTTGTCTTTCAATTTGTTAATGTGATGTGTCACATTTATTGATTTGCAAACATTGACCAGCCTTGCATCCCTGGAATAAATCTCACTTGGTCATGTTGTATGATCTTTTTAATATATTGCTGGATGTGATTTGCTAATATTTTGTTGAGGTTTTCAGCATCTATGTTTGTGAGGGATATGGCCTGCAATTCTCTTTCTTTGTAGTGTCTTTATTTGGTTTTGGAATTAATTTAATGCTGGCCTCATAAAAAGAGCTTGCAAGTGTTCATTCCTCTTGGATTTTTTTTAATAGTTTGAGGAGAATAGGTGATATTTCTTCTTTGAATGTTTGGTAAAAATCCCCTGTAAAGCTGTCCTGACCAGGGTTTTTTGCTGAGAGTTTTTTGATTACTGCTTCTATTTCCTCAGTTGCTCTTGGCCTATTCAGGTTTTCTGATTCTTCCTGATTCAGTTTTGGAAGATTGTATTTTCGTAGTAATTTTTTCACTTCATTCACATTGTCCAGCTTGTTGGCATGTAGTTGTTCATAGTACTTTCTTACAATCCTTTGTATATCTGTGGTGTCAGTTGTTACTTCACCACTTTTATTTTTTATTTTATTTATTTGGGTCTCCTCTCTTTGTTTCTTTTTTTTTTAAATAGCATTTTTTATATATATTTTATTGATTTTTTTTTTACAGGGTGGAAGGGAGAGGGATAGAGAGAGTCAGAAACATCGATGAGAGAGAAACATCCATCAGCTGCCTCCTGCACACTCCCTACTGGGGATGTGCCCTCAACCAAGGTACATGCCCTTGACCGGAATCGAACCTGGGACCCTTGAGTCCGCAGGCCGATGCTCTATCCACTGAGCCAAACCGGTTAGGGCCTCTCTTTGTTTCTTGATGATTCTGGCCAAAGGTTCATCAATCTTATTTATCTTTTCAAACAACCAGCTCTTGGTTTCAATGGCTTTTTTATTTTTTATTTTTTTTAGTCACTATGTCATTTATTTCCACTCTGATCTTTATTATTTCCTTCTTTCTACTTATTGTGGGATTTGCTTGTTGTTCTCTTTGTAATTCTTTAAGTTGTAGGGTCAGATAGTTTATAATTTTTTTTTCAGGTATGCCTGTAGTGCCATGAACTTCCCTCTCAGTACTGCTTTCACTGTGTCCCAGAGATTTGGGGTTGTTGTGTGTTCATTTTCATTTGTTTCCAGGAAGTTTTTGACTCCTGCCAAAACAGCAGAGGGAGGAGAGAGTAGATTAGAGCAGTGTGAGGAGCATCCAGGGTTGCTTTCTTGATCTATTGGTAACCCATTTGTTGTTTAATAACATGCTATTTAGCCTCCCTCAGGACTGCTTTCACTGTATCCCAGAGATTTTGGGTTGTTGTGTGTTCATTTTCATTTGTTTCCAGGAAGTTTTTGACTCCTGCCAAAACAGCAGAGGGAGGAGAGAGTAGATTAGAGCAGTGTGAGGAGCATCCAGGGTTGCTTTCTTGATCTATTGGTAACCCATTTGTTGTTTAATAACATGCTATTTAGCCTCCATGTATTTGAGGTTTTTAAAATCTTTTTACCATAGTTGATTCCTAATTTCATGTCATTGTGGTGTGAGAAGATGCCTGATATGATTTCAGTCTTCTTGAACTTGTAGAGACTTATTTTGCTGCTAACATGTGGTTTATCTTTGAGAATGACCCATGTGCATTTGAGAAGAATGTATATTCTGCAGCTTTGGGGTGAAATGTTCTATAAATGTCAATTAAATCCATACGATCTAGTGTATCCTCTATAATCATTGTTTCCTTGTTGATTTTTGTCTGAAATATCTATCCAGTGAAGTCAGCAGGGTGTAAAGTCCCCTACTATGACTGTATTGCTGTTGGTCTCTCCCTTAAAGTCCTCCAGAAGTTTATTTATATATTTAGGTGCACCTATATTGGGTGCATATGTTTACCAGTGATAAATAATCTTGTTGGATTGATCCCTTTAGTATTATATAGTGACCTTTATTGTTTTTTGTTATGGCCTTCATTTTGAAGTCTATTTTGTCAGTTATGAGTATTGCTACCCCGGCTTTTTTGTTTCCATTTGCATAGAAAATTTTTTTTCATCCCTTCACTCTCTTCCTGTGTGTGTCTTTTATTCTGAGGTGGGTCTCTTGTAGACAGCATATATTTGGGTCATGTTTTCTTATCCATTCAACTACCCTACGTCTTTTGATTGGAGCATTTAGTCAATTTACATTTAATTATTATTAATAGGTACTTATTTATTGCCATTTTAATTCTTTATGTCTCTGTTTTTCTTTCTATTCTTATTATAACAGTCCCTTTAGTATTTCTTACAATGCTGGCTTGATAGTGACAAACTCCTTTAGCCTCTTTCTGTCTGGGAAGCTCTTTGCTTCAGCATCTATTTTGAATGATAGCCTTGCTGGATATAGTAGTCTTGGTTTTAGATCCTTACTTTTCATTATCCTGAATACTCCATGCCATTCTCTTCTGGCCTATACAGTTTCTCATACAAAATCAGCTGACCACTTTATGGGAGTTCCTTTGTAGGTAAGTTTGCTTTTCTCCTGCTGCCCTTAAGATTCTCTCTTTGTCTTTAATTTATGGCATTTTAATTATGAGGTTGGGCATGGGCCCGTTTGGGTTCTTCTTGCTTGGGACTCTCTGTGCCTCTTGAACTTGCATGACTTTTTCCTTTACGAGGAAAAATGAGCCTCAGAAACTCCACTGGGTGGGGTGAGAGGTTTTCCAACAGGTTGGGGCAATTTCTTACCTTGCCCCCAGGCAAAAGCTGCCTGGATGGTAAAGGTCTGCCTGAAAAAGATGTTCTCTGCAGTATGAGGGAATGACTCAGCACAGGAAACCGTAGTGGCTGACTTCCGAGCTCTAACCCCAGAGCCCTCGACCCTGGATGCTCCTCACACTGCTCTAATCCACTCTCTCCTCCCTCTGCTGGAGCTCTGGGTGAGTGGCTTCACAGGAAATTTTGTGATTGGTCCTTTAAGAGGGTGCCTGCATTTCCAGTCATCTCCCCCTTTTCACAGACAGATGTGATGTGGGCATCTTCCTCAGTTCTGGTGCTCCGGGCTGTGGAGTCCAGCTTGGGATTTAGACCCCGGAGTTCTCAGTGGAACCCACAACAGCTGAGATATTCCTCCAGAACTTCAGCTGCTGTCTGTTGGAGCCTGGCCAGCCCTTTTGCACCTCCAAATTTCCTACCAGTCTCTATGCAGTCTCCACTTTCCATTCTTGGATATCAGGGTTCTCTCCAGCTAGTCTTCAGTGGATTATTCAGGATGGTTTTTCTGTATATTAGTTGAAATTCCAGTTTGGTCCTGGGAGAGTGTCAGTATAGCTTCCACTTAATCCGCCACCATTTTCTACTGTCAACTCAGCTTCTTAATGTGAAGTAAAAGCAGGTCGAGTGAGGCAACTGGGGTGTGATGTTTACGGAGGGCTCAAGATCAAGGTCATGTAAGTGCTGGCTGTGCCCTTGCAGGAACCTGGGAGTGGGTGCCTCCTTACATTTTGCATCCCAGGTGCCTCTCTCACACCACCCCAGTCCTTGCCCTGAGAACCAAGGTACTTATTATGAACTTCCTTAACGATTTAACATGTGCTCATCACTGTGGGTCAGAGGCCTCCAAGATTAAGTACCCAGATGGCCCCTGAGGCAGTCAGCCCCCTTCTTGTCTGCACCCACTGTGCCGTCCAGCCAGCACCTCTGGCTCTCCAGGCACGTGTCTTCCTCACAGTCCTGTGAGGGTCTCAGTGACGGGATCCCTCCTGGCACAGAACTTTGTCAGTGCCTGCACATTGACAAGTGTCAGATTCCCCTGTGAACCTTTGGGATTTGCTACTTTAACCTTTCTGAATATTGTCCAGCCCTTAGGAACTTTCTTTTTTAGGAGATACCGCCTGAAGGCCGAGACCGAAGCGCAGAAAAACTGGGCCCAGAACTGGGGATTTTTAACAACCCCTCTCGAGGAGGTAAATATAAATTTTATGAGTCCAGAGGTAATAGAATGGATCATTTCCAAGAATAAATGGTTATGAAGTGTATAATTTGCAAGAATAAAATTAAAGAGCATGTGGTAGGCAAAGACTGTCACCTCTGAAACCCGAAGGGTCCTTCCCTTCCCGGATTTATTGAGCGCTTACTATGTGCCCCGCAGGTCCTAGGTGCTGTCTCTGAAGCAGCATATTTAACCCGCACAACAACCCCTGTGCGGAGGGTTGCTCGTTTATGCCCATTAACGAAGACTCGAGTGGCGGCCACCAGTCTTCACCCTTTTGAGCTCTCTCCAGCTATGACACGAAGAAGCCTCATGTCCTTGGAGGGTCGCAGAACCAAATAAGCGCCACCTAATTCAGAACGATCCTGAGTCAAGGTGGCGTCAACCCCATTGTAACTTGCCCCATCCCACTAGCTTTGAAATGATGCCATTCTTAATGAGCTTGTTGAATACTTAAGAGTATTGTACAATTTGAAATTCTATGCATAAAATGAGTTCTTTTTTTTGTTATTATTAATCCTCGCCAGAGGATATTTTTTCATTGATTTTCTTCTTTTAGAGAGAATGGAAGAAAGAGGGAAAGACAGAGAGAAACATCCGTGTGAGAGAAACACATCGATTGGTTGCCCCCTGCATGAGCCATGCTCTTGACCAGAATCAAACCCGGGACCCCTTGGTCTGCAGGCTGACACTCCATCCATTGAGCCAAACCAGCCAGGGCAAAAATGTGTTCTTATTAATATAATATGCATAAAAAGAATCTATATTAATATTCTTTATATGTAATTTAAATTGGATTCTTGAAGAGTTCGAAATTGCTTTAAAAATTAAATGGGGGCCCTGCCCGGTGTGGCTCAATGGTTGGAACGTTGCCTGAGCATGGAAGGGTCTCGGGTTCAATTCCCAGTCAAGGGCACGTACCTGGGTTGCAGGTTGGCTTCCCGCCCCGCATTGGGACACGTGAGGGAAGCAACCAATCGATGTGTCTCTCTAATCAATGTTCCTCTCTCTCCCTCTCTCTTTTTCTCTTCTCCCCCCTCCCTCCCTTCCATTCTCTCTGAAAAATCAATGAAAAAAATATCCTCTGGTGAGGATGAACAACAACAAAAATTAAAAGGAGGAATGGGTGGCTCTTGTCTGATATTTTAAAGGTTGGTCCTGAGCCTGGTTGGCATTTTTTAATTTGAGCCCGTAATCCTTGAAGTCCCCTCAAACTACTCCTCGAGAATATGATGAGCAGACTGCAGGGCGAGCGCGGGCACCGCAGTTAGCGGCCTGCAAGGCCCCGCTGCCCCTTTCTAGCTGCAGTGGGGACGAGCGTTGTCATCTGTAAAACGCGGAGTTCTGGAGGCCGATGAAGAGGGCTCGTCCACCCTCTCAGCCTGGGGTGGCCTGTGTCTGGATTGTGTTTCAGTTGATCGAGTGTGAAGATGGACCCCCCGCCCCAAAGCCCAGGATCGAGCTTCCCCAGAGGTTCCACATCCGGCCGTTGACCCCCGTGGAGAAATATATCAAGGTTTGCAAAGTTGTTTTTAAATACTTGCTTCCCGAAGTGAACAAGTAGCCCCCACCACCCCCAGCATGTGTTTGGTGCAGGTGCAGACAGACAGCCGCCCAAGGTAAGAACTCAGCCGCGCCTGGCAGGTGGGGGTGCCGTTTCCATGCCCTCTCCACGCCCGCACAGCAGGTGGCTGTCTACACGCTGAGAGCCTCTGCATCCGCTTTGAAGAGGCAGAGGGGAGCCAAGACAATGAGGGGCTCGATCCAAGGCTTAACTGGGTGCAGGGAAGCAGGGCAGCGAAGGCGGGGCTCTGGAGTCAGATCGCTGAGCCACTCCCCTCCTGGGGGTCTTGGGCAGTGGCCTGACCTCTCTGTGTCTCTATTTCCACCTTGCACAATGGGGGTTCGTGAAAGCACCTACTTCAGGGATGGCGTCGGGCCCAGAGGAGGATGCTGGGAAGGACTTAGAGAGTGCCAGTGACTGCAAGCTGTGAGGAGGGGCCAGGTGCTTGGCTGGGCAAACAGTGCTGAACTAGAAGGCAAGACTCCAGCTCACACATGTGGGTTGGGGTCACCAACGTGAAACAAGAAAATCAACAAAATCGTTATACACTGTGCTAGATGCCATGGAGGAAATGGGCCGGTGATGTTGGAGGATACAGGGGATGGGGTGGTCAGAAAAGCCCCTGCGGAGCTGAGGACTGAAGAATGGCAAGGAGCCAGCCCAGGGAAAAGCATTCCCGGCAAAGGGAACAGCATGTACGGAGCCCTGAGGCACAACAAAGGTTGCAGTGTTTCAGGGGCAGCAAGGGACGTTGATGTGGCCGGAGCTTGGTGAGCTGGGGTGGGGGAGGGGTGGGGTGGGAAGGGCTGTGGATGGAGAAGTGGGCAGGGCCAGCTCCCACCGGACCTCAGGTGCCAGAGGAGCAGTTGGGATTTGAACCCAATCTGCAATGGAAAGCAGGGCATGAGATCGCTCTGGTTGCTGATGAGTGCCAGGGCGACCCCAAAGGGGAGAAGACTTAGAGGATGTTCCCACGGAGGCCAGTCAGCTGTGGAGGTGGGTCAGAGACTAGAAATTGCTCAGGGCAGGGCCAGCTCCCACCGGACCTCAGGTGCCAGAGGAGCAGTTGGGATTTGAACCCAATCTGCAATGGAAAGCAGGGCATGAGATCGCTCTGGTTGCTGATGAGTGCCAGGGCGACCCCAAAGGGGAGAAGACTTAGAGGATGTTCCCACGGAGGCCAGTCAGCTGTGGAGGTGGGTCAGAGACTAGAAATTGCTCAGCTCCGTAGGTCCCTGGACCTCTCATCATGGGCCCGTCATTCTCATCTTGGGGTCTGCCCTCTGCTCAGCTGCGGAGAAAGCAGTTCTGTGTCCTGATGGGAAGAGGAGATGAAAACTCAGGATGAAGGCGGCCACTTCCGGAGACAATGGCAACATGGCCCTTCACAGAGAATGAACCAACCTGCTCTCCCAGGATGCCCTTGTTAGGATGCTGTTTTCATTTCCTTGCCAATCTGGTGGGTGAAGCGTGGCCTCCTGGGTGGTTTTTTGTGTTCTTTTTTATTTGTTTTTTGTTGTTAATCCTCACTCAAGGATATTTTTCCATTGATTTTTTTAGAGAGAGCGGAAGGGAGGGGGAGAGGCGGAGAGAGAAACATTGATGTAAGAGAGACACATCGATTGGTTGCCTCCCTCACGGCCCCCCAACCTGGGCCAGGGATGGAGTCTGCAACCAAGGCAGGTTTTCAGTTGCGTTTCTCCTACAAGTTGGAGGGAGGCTTGAAGGCAGGTCTGCGTGTTCCCAAGGGCCCGTCTGGGACAGCTCCCCGCTAGCTGATGCGGGAAACTGCGATCCTCTGGCGTTTATGGACGACCCTCCCTGCTTGTGGCCTCTCAGGAGATTAATTTTAATGCTTCATCAAGAACATATGTTAAGGGCTTCACCCACCAGAGGCAGCTGGCCCACCAGGACCGCCCCTCCCGCCATGCCTCGCCAAGATGCTGTAGCCAAGCGTGAACTCATAACCCCAGCATATTAAACCTCTTCATCTCAGTGCTTCCGTGGGAACAAATTTCTCACCGTTTTCTCCACTCAGATCACCCGTGAGAGCAGGACAGATGATCGCTTCACAGGGAGAGGGAACTGCCTGAACATTTACCCTCACGTTCCAAAAATTTCAAGTCTGTCCAAGGACATGACAGTTGAAATTGTGTGTGGGGGTTTCCTTTCAGATAGAATCCCGTTTTGCTTTTGGATTTTAATTAAGTTCAATTGCTTCTCATTCCTGTGGTCTCTGGTGTGTGTGTGTGTGTGTGTGTGTGTGTGTGTGTGTGTGTGTGTGTGTGTGTATGTGTGTACTCACATCATAAACCCTTCTAATCAAAGCCGGAAGGTTTATAACTACCAGAAACCCATCTGGCAATATCGTCACAGATTTTATGAAGGGCGGTGTTTGATATTTCTGCACCTTACTTTTCCCGCTGTGTGCTCTTTATCAAATAAGAATCATGTACTGGCGGACAGGAGTCCAACGAGCTGCAGGGACGTGTCTGTGAGCATGACTGCGGGCGCGCACCGGGCTGGGCCTGAGCCTCCTGGGCCCCGGCTTTGCTTGCTGTCCTTCCACACCAGGCCTCGCGTGGGTCGGGGGCCTCCGTGGACACTCCTCATGCCGCTGCCCAGGTGGCTGACCGCTGCGTCTCCCTCCCAGGTCCTCCCCTCGCCCCCAGTTCCGAAGACCACGCAGGGCTTCATCGGCTGGCGGTCAGGGGTGCCGGGCCTGAACAAGTGCCTGGAGTACGGATCGGAGATCAGGAGCTGCAAGGGTGCCTTTGCCAGGGAGCTCGACTGGCCGAAGCAGGGCATCCACTGAGTCCAGCCCTGGGGCGGCGCAGGGTGGACTGCCAGGCACCGGCGCCCACGCCCAGGAAAGAAAGCTCCCAGGGCAAGGAACAGAGAATAGCCCTCTGACATTGTCAATTTATCAATAACGCCCTTCCAGAACATTCTCATAACACTCATTCTTGGCTACTGTAATAAATAAGACAGCATTGGTTCTCTGAATTTTCTTTGGATACCTTGGGAATTTCTAGGTACGGCTTTTAAAAAAACAATGTGCTTTAATTTTAAAGTTGCTTGTCCAGGCCCTTTAATGCTGCTTACAGCCCCTGTCACTCCACTTTTGTAATGAGATTGTGGACCGGGTGCTCTGGGCCTGTCCTCAGGAAGAATGACTCTTCTGTCCCAGGAGATCTGCAATGTCAACAGCCCGTTGTGGTGAGTGGAAGTTTCCAGAACAGGAGGTTCCCCACGGGGTCTGCATGAAACTTCCTGCTTGCCTGCCCCCGCCACCCCAACCAACCCAGCAGCTGGGCTGGCCAACCAGCCACTCTCCTTTCCCTCGTGGGCAGCGGACATCAACCCCTTGGTCCCTGCCTGGCTTTGCTCAGGTCCTACAAAGGGCGGGGGAGGGGGAGGGCGTCCAGCTGGTGGAAGGAGCTACAGGGAAAGCCTGTGGCCTCCCCAGATCCCCAGAGGAGGGGCGTGTAGTGTGCAGGCCACCTGGGAAACTGGTTTGTGTTTGTCTCTGAGGAGCGGAGGGTGGGGCTCCTTCGTACCTGCACCGACCGCCCTAGACTCAGCCCCATCCCAGGCATTTGGGCCACACCCCAGGCTCCTAACAGAGCAGCAGGGCCCCACCAGCGGCCTCGGTTGAGAATCGCGTGGACAGCACTAGAAGATTCAATCACCCTGGACGGTTTCAAGCTTGACATGTAATCTATGGAAATCAACCTCTTTGTGGGTTTTAAATGGGATAAATGTCACCACGCGCTGTAAAATGCCACATTCCCAAGGTCAGGGCGAGGCTGACGGTCCCGTGTGCACCATGGTAACGGACATCACAGCGATGAGCCTCCAGTGGGGCTCGGAATGAGTGGCCTCTGAAATGATGCAAAACAGAGTTCGGCCGGGACTCAGAATGGATTCTGTCACAAGCACATTGCAGCCCAAGACAGAGTAGAAACTCCCAGGTTGAGTTATAAGAAAATCATCACATAATCGAAGAAAACTACTGGAAAACACAAGCCTTACACACTCAAACACACCTGGGTAACCTCAGTGTCCAAAGACCAGAAGTGTCTAGAATTTAGGAAGTTGTAGATTTTAAAAAGCATGTCACCTGCATATTGCATAACCCTTCTGGCAAGGTCTGGGGCAGCCACCCCACAAATTAAACCCATTAATGTTGTAGAAAAATGTTCAAGTATTCACACTAAATGGAATCAAGACTCTAAGGAGCCCCTTGTCCGGTCTGGTTCAGGTTTATCACCGAGCGTGTGTGGATGTGCAGGCCCTGCCCTGCGTGTGGGTGGGTCCAGTGACTCTTCCATAGAAAGTGTGCAAAGGTGACAGGAGGCCACTTCCCAGACTAGGTCACAAGGGACTGTGACTTCCATCTTGAGCTTCTCCCCTCTCTCCCTCTCCCCTCCCCTTCTCCCACTCTCCTTGACGAAGCCAGCTGCTGTGTCATGAGATACTCTATGGAGATGCCCACACGACAAAGAAGGAAGGAAGGGAAACCACGCCCAGCAGCTCATGAGGGCCTGAGTGGGGCCTTCATCCAACAGCCAGCAAGGACCTCAACCTCCCAGTAAGCCCCACCCCCAGCCAGCCCCACCCCCAGCAAGCCCCAGTAAGCCCCACCCCCAGCAAGCCCCACCCCCAGCAAGCCCCACCCATCAGCAAGCGCCACCCACCAGCACGCTTGTGAATGAACTGGGAAGCTGATCCTTCCCAGTGGAGGCTCGTGAAGGCCACCACCTGTGAGATACCCTGGCCCAGAGGCCCCAGCTCAGGGGCCCCTGGATTCCTGACCCACAGGAGCTGTGAGGTCACAGAGTTTCAGGCCATTATGTTTGGGGGGAATTTGTTACTCAGCAATAGATAACAAATCCAGGTTATTTCTAAAGTGACCCACTGATGGCCGTCACTTTCAGGAGAGCCCAGAGGCTGCTCCACAGGCTCTGAAGGGTTCGGGGTTCTGGGACATTCCCCGGAGCCGCCCCGCTTCCTCAGAAGGAGCAGAGCCCTTTTCCAGGGAAACACCCCAAAACACGCTTCAGGAAGCTCTGCCTTCACATCGCAGAAGCTGGGCCAGAGTTCCAGGGAGTCGCCTGGAGACAAAAGGGCTTTTCCGAGTCAGAGGCAACGGCAGTTACTTGAGATCAATAAGGACAGCTATTCCACAGGCACTGACTCGGGCAGAAACCCAATCGTTCCGATGAGAAGGCAAAGGGTGGGTATTGATGAGGAAGGGAAGGGAGGGGTGGGGACAGTTCCATCCACAGCAGGAAGGCGTTGCTTTTAGTGCAGAAAAGGCAACACGGTGCCGCTGATTCTAAACAATGTTTTCACTCTCCGCCTGGAAGTCATAGTATCTGCTTCTTATTATCGTTGCAAACAGTGCTTTCCGGCACAGCTTGCTTTCGGCCCAGTCCAAAGGTGGTTTTCACACCGCAAAGGTGTGAGGCCTCGGGTGTGCAAGGCAGCTCCACTGGGATGGTTCCATTTTTTATTTTATTTTTTCCCTAGGTGACACATCATCTTAAGTTTGGGGGACAAAGCTGGAGAAAGGACTCGCAATCCCTCTGACCCCCAGTCCCAGTTTAAAGCTGTCCTCAGAGGTCCACCAAGGGCGGGTCATCCCCCCTGAGCCGGGGAGAGGTGAGGCCTCAGGCAAGTGGGCCAGGTGAGGAGCAGGGCGGAGCGGGCTGACCGCATTCAAATCCAGGCGCTCCCCTTTCCGGCCGTGTGGCCTTGGGCCAGCGGCTGGGCCCCTCCGACCCCTGCTCCCTCAGCTGTGCGAGGGGACACACCCAGCCTCCCAGGGTGGCCTGAGGATACACGGGAACTGGGATGGGAAGGCCTTGCCAGGGACATGTCAGTCCAGCCCTGGCAGGAGGGGACAGACCCTTGATAAACAGGGTGAAGATACAACAAGATGCGGGTGATAAAATGTCAGGTAAGCCGGCTGCCCTGGCCAAGGGGTTCAGCCCAGGGTGGCTGCTGCTGCTTTCACTGCCATTTTTGTTGTTGTTAATGATAGTCATTCCACCTCCATACAGTCAGGCTGTCCTCGGCTTTTCCATGCAGGCTACAACACTTCTCAGCGCCTGCCACCGTAAGAGCTGGCCATCACTCAAGAGAACGCTGGTGCTCCTTCAGAAATGCACACATCGCCCTGGCTGCTGTTGCTCGGGGGTTAGAGCGTCGGCCCATGCATGAAAGGGTCTCAGGTTCAATTCCCGGGGAAGGGCACGTCCCTGGGCTGCAGGTTCAATCCCCCGGCCCAGTCAGCGCACGAGCAGGAGGCAACCAATCGATGGGTGTCTCTCACATCGAAGTTTCTCTCTTTTTCTTCCTCTCTCTCTCTTGCTCTCTTTCTTTCCTTCCCTCTCTTCCTCTTCCACTCTCTTTAGAAATCAATGGAAAAAATCCTCAGGTGAGGATTAACAACAAAAAAAAAAACAAAAAAAAAACCTGCACACATCAATGAGACACCCTCCATACCCCATTTAAAAAATAAACTTTAAGCTCTTTCCGGAGCCATTCATTAGAACTTAAAAAATGGAGCCCAGCCCTCACGGGGTTTGGCTCAGTGGATGGAGAATCCGCCCACAGATAGAAGAGCCCCAGGTTTGAATCTGGTCAAGGGCACGTACGCAGTTGCAGACTCAATCCCCAGCCCTGATGGGGCACGTACGGGAGGCACCCAGTTAGTTGATGTGTCTCTCTCACACTGACATTTAGCCCTCTCTGTCTCTCCCCCTCCCTTCCACTCTATCTAAAAGCCAACTGGAAAATATCCTCAGGTGAGGATTAACAAACAAACAAACAACAACAAAAAAACCACAAACCAACAACAAAAAGCAAATGGAGCCCAGAATAACCCTGAGGTCTGCACTTGCTGCGTGGAATTGCACTCCTAGGAGGTGGCCTGACTGGCGTTAGTGTCCGGAGGTGATCACGTGGGTAAAAACCAGTGGGTGCTGCAGGTTCTGATGAGACCGAATGCGAATGATGCCTGGGGTAAGCTGCAGCCAGGACTCAGGCGCCCAGAGACAGCTGGCGGCCCCCGAGAAACCAGGCAGGTGTGGAAGAACTGTTGTGAGTGTGGTGTGTGGGTGTGTGGGTGTGTCTGCCTGTCAGGAAGTTCTCTTTTAATTGGGAAAGAAACTTTGCTTCTTTTTCTTTAAATTTTATTTTATTGTTTAAAGTATTACAAATAGTAGTACATATGTCTCCTTTTTTTCCCCATTGATCTTCCCTCGGCCTCC